GAAACAACACCTCCTACGGAGCGTTGAGCGAACTATATACTTACCGACCGACGCTGCAGAAATTATCATGAAATTATCATCATTATATGTAGTTCGCTCAACGCTCCGTAGGAGGTGTTGTTTCAAACTCTCTCGCAACTAACATGAAACTTGAAAAGTATATAAGGAGGCAGCATTCCCACGAATATTTGTGGAATTTTATTCTGCCCGTCCTCTCCTATCTTTCCACTGATGGATGTGAGGTAAATAATTTTTAGACTCTGAACGAAAGGGTTATTCACATTTCGATGTGATAAAAAATAATAACCATTTCTATAAAATAATTAATTAAAAAAATTAATATTTTTAATAATAAATAATAATAATAATAAATAAAATAATTATTAAGTAAATAAATTTATTATTTAATGAAAAAAAATTTTTTTTATTATTGGTTTTTTAATGGCAACCAATATTGTGCCAATAATGGTTGCCAATTATTGGCATCGGCGTGGACATCCCAGGATTTTACCATTAGTGGTCCATTATTGGGAGCCAATAATAAACCTAGAGAAAACCAATGGCTCCCAATATTGGGCCATTAATGCACCAATGGTAGACTAATGGCTATTTCCCATTGGGTACGGCCCTGATTTTAAATATTTTTTAACGAAATTTTTACAAGTTACTCTTTTAATAGTGTACTTTAAGATATAAAAACACTCAAATAAAAAATTTATTTATTTTATGAAAAAAAAAATAATTAAACAATCATACATTGTCTGGACGTTTTGACCCATGTAACCCCTTAACCGTTTAGGATTATTTTTTCCCCGTTTTTTTATATTATTTTCCACACTGAAAAAAAAAATTATTTGAATCAAATAAAAATTATTTGATTCAAATAAATTATTTATTTGGTTGTAATCCAATAAATGTGTATTTGAACCAAATACATAAATATTTGAACTAAATATTTTATATTATCGCACCAAATAATTGTTTATTTGAATCAAATACAACTAATTCAAATCAAATAAATAGAATATTTGAATCTAATAAATGATTATTTGAATCAAATTCAAAATATATTCAACTCAAATATATATTTATTTGACCCAAATATTTTATTTAATTGTATCAAATAACTATTTATTTGAATCAAATACAACTAATTCAAATCAAATAAATAAAATATTTGAATCTAATAAATGATTATTTGAATCAAATTCAAATTATTTTAATCAAATAAATCGAATATTTTAATGTAATAAATAATTATTTGAATCAAGTATGAAAATTATTTCATTCAATATTGATAATTTCAACATCAACAAATATTAATAAAAAAAATAACTAATTGCAAAAGATAAATACTGATGACAATTCATTGATAGTTCACTTTCACATTTTTTTATACACTTAAACGCAATTTTTATTACATACACATTTGAAAAATCCTAACGCTTGGGGGGTACGAACCCACGCCTAACCGAATATTCACGCACCGAAGTCACGCACGCTAACCACTATACTACGCTCGCATGGGACTCTCAAATCTTAAATACTCTCAAGTGTCACTAGCTCAAATAAAACTTGTAGAATTACTACAAGGCAGTGAACAATTTTGCCGCTATATTTTCAATACTTTATTCAATGTATATTTACGAATATATTTCAATATTTCTTTAAAAAATCAACTTATTGTAATATTTTTATTTATATATTTTTTAATAATATTAATTATTATGTCAATAATAATAAATTTATATAGTAATAATATAAATTTATTTGTAATAATTATAAATAAAATAAATTTATTGTGTCAAATAATTTTTATTTGCATCAAATAAACGAAATATTTGGGTAAAATAAATGAATGAATAGTTTCAAGTAACTCATTATTTTCGTTTCAAATAATTATTTAATTGATTGAAATATTTTTTTATTTATCTTGATAAAATGTATATTAGCTTTGAATAATGAATTATTCGGATTAAATATTTCAGTCTATTAGAATCAATAAAATAAATTTACTGAATCAAATAATTCTTACTTGCATCAAATAAATGAAGTATTTGAGTAAAATAAATGAAAGAGCAGTTTCAAATAATTCATTATTTTCGTTTCAAATAATTATTTAATTGATTGAAATATTTTTTTATTTGTCTTGATAAAATATTATATTAGCTTTGAATAATAAATTATTCGGAGCAAATAATTACGCTTATTAGAATCAATAAAATAAATTTATTGTGTCAAATAATTTTTATTTGCATCAAATAAACGAAGTATTTGAGTGAAATAAATGAAAGATAGTTTCAAATAATTCAATATTTGTATTAAATAAATTTATTTATTCAATTCAATTATAACTATTTATTTGAATCAAGTACGATTTATTTGGTTCAAATAAGTATGATTCAAATAATTGCAGATATTTAAATCAAATACATATTTTTTTGATCCAACTAAAAAGTATTTAAATCAATTAAATATTTTTCAAATAATTTGAATTATTTGAATCAAATAAATTTTTTTTCAGTGCATTTATACCTTTTTTTATTCCATCTTTATATATGTTTCTTCTACTGAATAAAAATTAAATTTTTTCCTTTACATTCATATTTTAAATAATCACATCCGTTATTTGTATATTCTTTTTCTGTCTCTTCTATTTTCTCACGTTAATTACTTTTTCTTCTTTCTCTTTTATGTTATTACTCTTAGGTCTTCTTTTACACCTATTACTATTTTTACTTGTTCGTTTCTCAACTTCCTGTATCAGATGACTTTTTAATCACTTTTATTTTCTTCCTTGACTCTCAGTCCTCAGACATTTTACTCTATTTTAAGCTTTGCTTTCATTGATACTTTTTCCACACGAGTGCAATCATTTAATTTTCATAGCTTCTTTATACATAATTTTAGTTCCATCCACATTTTATAATTATTACTTAATTCCTTTTTGTTTATTCGATTTTATATAATGAAATATTTCGAATTTCATTTCGATTTTAGACAATATTATAGATCCAATTTTATTCCGTTTGATTCCATTCAATTATTTATTGTATTCAATTGAATTGAATAAAATTAAAAAATGAAACTTAACAACGAAAAATTAAATTTTTTTGCAATTGTTCTATATGTTGTTAGGATGTAATTATTCTTTCAAGCTATGTTGAAAGAATTTTTTAAAATTAAATTTTTTTATAGGATAGAATAGATTTTATAATACTTGTAAGAATTTATATTGTGCAAATGAAAAACCGTATTTATTGTTTATGAGGTAAAACAAAACATCAGAGACCGTTTGAATTCTCTCGATGTGAAGTAATGATTTATGCTTGTAACAATTAATATTTCTCAAGATGGGTATGTATATTAATCGGAAATAACTATTTTCCCTATAAATGTAAATACTTGATTTATCCACTTTACTCATTGAATTCACATTTGAGTAATAATAACGGTTCATTAAAACAAGACGGGAATAACACCCACGACTGTAAACCGCACAATAGAGTTAGTCAAGAAAAGTTCTTTGAACTTGTTGTTTATTTGCATAACTTTCGCAGTTTTGTTACATTTATTTTTTTTACTTCTACATACAAATCATGTGTGAAATTATTTTTAGCTACGCTTTTATATTATTTTTTTCTATTAATATAAAATGCAGTTCTTTTAAAAATGTCAAACTGATAATAAATTGGATCAAAATGATACCAAAAATGTAGCTTAATTTTTTATTTGATACACATTTTTGGTATCAATTTGTTGAAATTTGATACTTAAATAAATAATTTGTTTTTTATATAAACCTCATTTATAGTTTATATTAAAGAAACTAATACTAGAAAAAATACAATAAACAGATACAATAAAAATTTCTATATAATATATATTTATACTGCCAAAATCTACATCATAGAAAATCCGGATCTTCGAAATTTTGATTTCAAACCTGTTTTTAGGAAACTTGATTATGAAATCATAGTTTAAAATAGCTTCTTTGTAATTTGGAACTGAATCGTTTTATCTATACTATACTGCACTATATATAGTTTAAAGTGCGTGTATTTTCCATTTAAATTATTATTATTATTATTATTATTATTATTATTCAGAAAACTGAAATTGGTTTGCTTATATGGTGAGCTAGTATGTGCATTTCACGCGATTCTATGCTCGCGAGGTATGAAATTGCAGTTGATTGCTTGAAAAATATCATCATCACTATTCTCGTTTATCCAAACTGTAACTGTATTATCAAATTTCTCTCAATTTTCTGCACAACATGGAAAGAAAGTCACGATATAATAAATAGATTCTTTCTTTTTCTTTTATAATCTTGCAAATTTTAAGAGAAAATTTTATTATAATAAATTGTCTGAAGGTCGCAGTTTAAATAAAAAAAATTCGATTTAAAGCAGAAGAATCGGATGTTTTTGATTTAAAAAAAGAATCATGTTCTTAACAGCTCTGGTTTTAATACACTTTTGATTTGATACAGTTTTAATACGATTTTAAAACAGTTTTGATACAGTTTTGATGCAGTAAATGTTGTATAGAGTACTTTTTGCACACTGTTCCTATAAGATTATGGATTACGAAACTTTCGCCCTTTTTCCAGAGTTTTGTTATATTAATCGAAAGCACTGACCAGTTCTTCGAATGACAGTATAGCTACTGAAATGTTCAAAGTGCCTGTTCGACAAGCACCTCACGTGCTTCATACATCACTCCGCATAGAGTCTATGTACTTATAAATTACAGACGCATGTCATGTGTGTATGTGTGCGCATTACGCATTGAATCCGGTTTAACGATATCGAATACCACGGACACTTTTTATCCATGCCTTATTGCAAACTCTTTAATCCTAAGGAAGGCACTATAAACCCATGGGAATCGAAATCCACATAAGCGCCCACGGCGATTCCCATCCAGAACCTAATGACTCAAATGCATTTTTACTGTATAATTGTTATTGCTCTGTATCATTCATGTATTGTATTTAAGGGGGAGGAAGTCCTGCTGGCAGTGTACGCACATCCTGTGAGACAGAACCGTATAATACGTCACGCTTCAAACCAAGTCTCTTCAGTTCCAAGACGTCTTTCTTACCGTCAACTGCTTTTTTACTTTTTTTTCATTCCGTCTTTTTTTCTTTTTTTCTTTTATTCGCTTAATTCTTTTTGTTCATCTTTCCTTGTTTTCTCCAATTCGTAATTACCAGTGCGACGAAAATTTTACTAGTCGGAAATTAGGAAAAATGGGGAAAATTATTTGTTGAAAATTGTGTACTTCAAAAATAAGTGTTAATATTCTTCTATTCTTAAATTACTAGTTTATTATTTATCAGTGCTTTTGACTCACAAGCAGGACATTGACTTGACAGTAACTCGCACATTATGTGTAATCCAGTAAGAGTATAATTTATTCTACTAGGAATATTTTTTTATTACAAAAGAATTATTTTTGCTTCTCTCTGAATCTACATTAGTGAAAAGTCCTGCACTGTTTTGAATTTGGCTTAATAGAAATTTCTACTAATTCTTAGTAATTTTCCACTGAAACTTAGTAAAATTGACAAATTAGTAAAATTTTTCTAAGAATTAGTGGAAATTTACTACGAATTAGTGAAAATTTTTACTGATTTGAAATAGTGGACGAATTTGCATCAACTTTTTAGAGAGAGAATTAAGAAGTATCTATATAATAATAAGAAGTTTTTTTCTCAGTTCGTAAATATTGATTACTACAATTAAAAAGATTTTGTACTCTCTAAATTTGAATTAGTAAAAATGTTTACTAATTTGAATTAGTGACTGACTTTTTGCTTTTGAAATAGTAAACTTCACTAATAAATAGTAACTTTTACTAATTCAAAAGCAAAAAGTCAGTCACTAATTCAAATTAGTAAACATTTTTACTAATTCACATTTAGAGAGTATGTTTTTCTACTTGTCAGCTTTGAAATGAAGTTCAAATTACAAAAAAGTTTTAATATTTAATAGTTTTCAAAAGTTTTTGTATTTTTTGAAACAGATGAAGATGAAATTTCAGCGGTTATTCAAATTTCGTCGCAGATATAATCCAAGGACATCGAGATCTTTAGGCGAACTTTTAAAATGTAATGCGAAATATACAAAGATATGCACGTCTTTTAAACATACTATTTTTTCTATATACTTAAATATCATATTTTTTCCAAATATATGAATTTTTAAATAATTTCAGATTCAAACTTTAAAAAAATTCAGTTATTAACTAATTTACTAATTAATTATTCATGTTAATTAATTTCAAAAATTTTAATAAAATTCTTAGCAAGAATTCAATTACTCTCTAAATTTGAATTAGTAAAACTGCTTACTAATTCAAATTAGTGACTGACTTTTTGCTTTTGAATTAGTAATCTTTACTATTAAATTAGTAGAAAATACTATTTATTAGTAAAATTTACTATTTCAAAAGCAAAAAGTCAGTCAATAATTCGAATTAATAAAAATTTTTACGAATTCAAATTTAGAGAGTTTCATAAATAATAATAACATTCTTTGAAAGAATCCAATTATTTTTATAAATAGTAAAATTTTTTGCAAGAATTCAATTATTTAAAAAAAAAATTTAATAAAATTTCACAAACAAATACAATTAATTTCTAAAAATTTTTAAAAATCCTTTGAAACAATTCAATTATTTTTTTAAATAGTAAAATATTTGCAAAAATTCAATTATATTTTCAAAAAAATTCCAGGAAAGAATTCAATTTTTTTCTTAATTCGTTATAAGATTTTTCAAAAGAATTAAAAAAATGTTTAATAAAATACAATGATTAAGTGTTCAGTTTCAATTATTAACAAAATTTTCAACTAAAATTATTAAAGAAACTCGATTATTTTGAAAAAATTCAAAGAAATTCTTCAAAAGAATTTAATTAGTATTTTTCATTCCTCGCAAGAAGTCATAGTTATTTTTCTAAATAATAAAATTCTTCGAAGGAATTTAATTATTCTCAAATTGGTTGATAAAATTCTTTGCAACAATTGAATGATTTTCAAAACATTAATTTTAAAATTGAAAATATTCCACCTGATTGTTGGCTGGAACACAATATGTAGCGGAAATCTTTCCAATTTCCTTCTCCAATATCTGCTTTCTATTCATCTCGAACAATCAAAGTAGAAATTTCTCCCAATTTTCACACAAATATGTGAACTAATTTTTTTTCTTTTTTTCAGACCTGTCACCAGTTCGATGGACTCGTCGTAAATCGTCGAGTTCTGAATCGGAGAGGAATTGCTACAATGTGCAAACATCACAGGTGACAACTGAACGCACATCGACCAAGAAGGACAAGAAAAAAATACAGGAAGAACGAAGGAGAATTTGCGAAAAACGAAATCCCCTTCTCGATAAAGTAAAAACGACACGACTGAGTTTTCTTCGCGATCAGGATTCCGATGACGATGAGAATGTCGACGAGAGCAATAATAAAAAGGAATTTCGCTCAATGGGCGAGCTTAGTCGAAGAGGATTAACGAGAAACGACATTCGACGATCGGTGTGTGAAACTGACTTGAAAGAGCTCACCGAGGAGGAGAAAACTCAAGCGAAAAGGAAGAAACGATCGAAATCCCACAGTCGTCTAACAACCAGGAATCATGCAGATGAGCGGTTTGTACTGTTTAATTTTAGAACATCCACGCCCTACAAGGAAGAAACGCGGCCTGAGAATTTTCTAGAAAGTCCCAAATCTGGTCGCGGCTGGCGGAAATCCAATGCCGAGGAGAAAAAGAGCGAGAATCTCCTCGACGAGGTCGAGATGCCCATTAGAGACGGATTTGACAGTATAACGCCTTCGAGTTGTCTCGCTGCCAAATTTCGCGCCATGCAAGACCGCTATCTCAAGAGTTCGACCAGCAAACTAATCGCTAAGATCTACAAAAAGGACACCAAGGACCGTGACAGGAGGAGACTCCGAAGCTTCTCCTACGGGACTCTTCCCGGCCTGGAGGAACTACGAACGAATCCTCTTTACGACGATCAGGACCAGGATGACAACGACTCCGGAATTCTGGACAACGATTCCGCAACCAGCTCCCTCTTGGACGACAGGTGCAGCAGCGGAGCGTCGGAATTGCTAACGAGTTTGCTCAACGAGTCCTCTTCCTCCTCATCGCCACCTCCACCTCCTCGACTCCCACCCCGAAGACCATCAGCACCCATCACTGACCTAGAAAAGAACCTTCGACTGTGCCAACATGCTTCCATTCTAGAAGCGAACCCTGTGATTGTCAAGACTGACGCAGAAAAAACCACGAAACCATTTGCTCACAATGTCTGCCTGGGAATCGAAAAGGATCCCTTGAACATAATCAGCCACACTAAGGCCGAAGAGAATCCAAATTCGGAGAATTTAGAGAAGAATTCGAAAAAATGGAAAACAGGCAGAGAATTACCGGTCATAAGAAGCAGGTCATGCACTACAGAGACGATAGTTGTCAAATTGCCAAGGGAAACCGCCGATCAATGTTTGGGAATATTTATAGCCAAGACATCGGACTCGAATCCTGGTTATTTGGTGGCTCACGTGGTTCCCAACGGCCTCGCGGACAAGGAGGGAACTCTGAAAATTGGCGATGAAATTTTAATTGTCAATGGGAAAAGACTGAGGGGCTTGACAATGTCGGAGGCGAGGAAAATTTTGGGCAATGGCAATGCTCCCGGAATTGTTGACATTGTTATATCGAGATACAATAATGTGGAACAGCAACAACCGAGAAAGTTGAAGGAGAGCAGTGTGGATTACGAGAACGTCAGCATCGAGAATGGGCATGGTGTAATTGTGGAAAATTCACCCAAGTGTCATTTTAGGAAACACAACTCGCGACATAATCGAGACAGGAAGAACGAGTCCAACAGGTCGATATCTTCAGAGAAATCCTGCACGACACTCGACAGTGGTTCTCAGAGTATTTCTAATTTTTGCACTTTGCCAAGAAGACCGAGAAGTACTTTGTCCACATTTTTGACTGTTGTTTTTGAAAAGGGGCAGGGAAAAAAATCCCTGGGCTTCACTATCGTTGGTGGACGGGATAGTCCCAAAGGAAGCATCGGTAAGTCTAGAAATATTCTATAATCATATTTTACGATCATCTCTTCATCTCGTGAAAAATTCGAATAAAATTTCAGACAAGTCTAAATATGCTAAAGACCAAGAAAAATCAAGAAAAATAATTAGAAAGAATATTAACATACGAAAAAAAATGTTACCTCAAACTTTACTTGAAGCTACAAATTTTACTATTTCAACGAATTTTTTAGCTGTTTCAATTAATAATTTCGCTATTCTAGAGAAACTTTTCGCTTATTGAGGTGAAGATTCGTTTCCGTCAAGTATTAATAATATAATACTTAATATTCTTTACGGTTATTTCTCTACTAGAAAATTTCGGCATTCCACTTATTATTTTGCAAATCACAAAATTTTATATTTTCAAATATAATATACAAACTTAAATTTTTGAAAAATTTCTAAATTTTTAATTTTTTAAATTCACTTTTTAAGTACATAATTAATTATTCTTGTTTATTATTTTCAAATCCGTAGAAATCGATTTATCACTGTTCAATTTAAGCAAAAAAATTTATTACGAAAGAATTTTCAATTTAAAAAATATTTTAGCCTAACCTTGATGATTTTTAATTTCCATCTTTTTATTAGAAAAAATTACCAAAACTTTTAAATTCCCTATTACAATAGAATTTAATTACAAACAGAGCGTTTTAAATAGAAAAAATATTTAAAAATGAATAATTTATTACAATTTTTCTACATGAAAGTTAATTTTAATGGTTATGTGAGAATTGTCATTTGCTGAAATTTCTCGAAATGACAAAATTTGGATTTATCAGGTTTTGAAAACTTACTCCTCAATTATTCTCAAAAATTCTGATAAAATTCCTTTATAAATTTCAATTATTTTCAAACAATTTTCAGTTATAATTGTTTTTAAAAAAATACATTATTTTCAAGAAAATTAATGAAATTCTTTAACAAAATTTAATTATTTACGAAAACTCTAATAAAATTGTTAAAGAATTTAATTTTCTATTATAATAATTTTCATAAAATTTTATAATAAAATTATTAATTTATAGTATTTATAATAAACTAGATTATTTTAGAAACTTGAAAGAAATTCTTTATAAAATTCAATTACTTTCAAATTTTACAATAAAAATTATTAACTCCACTACCTATTTTCAAAAAATTAACCCTAGAAGGAGTAACTGGGGTGTCTGGACACCCCAAGCAAAATTCAAATTAAGTATTCCCACGGCTTAACCAATAATTTTTTTACGCTCAAAACCCGTTGATAATTTTGTTTAAACCTCTATCTTTTGACACCTGTATGTGCCGCCAAAAGTTTTGCTCTAGGAAGAGCTCTATCTCCCGTTAAAATACGTCTGGGGTGTCTGGACACCCCAGTTACTCCCTAACGTTAGAAAAATTGTCAAGATAAGTAAATTCAAATTTTTTTAAAAAATCGTTTTTAATCAGTTAAAATCATCTGATAAAGTATAAATTGATAGGTTATGCATGAAAAAGTTGTATTTTATAAAAAAGGAACATTTTTATACAAAAATTCTATTTTTATGAAAAATAGACATTCTGTATTTGTAACAACTTATGAAATTTGAGTTAAGATTTATTAAAAATTTCTGTGCTTTCTCTACAGTCAGAAATTAAATTCTAATACAGAAAAATGTAGTATATGACAGTCAAATTAAAATTATAAATTCTATACTGTTAATAATATTTTAACATATATTAGAGGTATTAAGAATTGTTAATTAAAACTTTGATTAAATATTAATTTACAGAATCATTTCATAAGTTATTAATTTCAATGTTAATATATTCAGATATATTAAGTTTGTAAAATTTTAAATTTATAACACCATTTTTAGTAAATATTAATTGTTTAAGTCCATTTTATAGTTAATTTTTATAATTTTCACTTTTCGTCAATTGTCTTTAATTTCTTTCACTTCAGATGTTCAAATAATTATGTTTTTTGGAAGTAATACAAAAACTAATTTTTTCCCCTAAAAGTGTATCTATTTAACTTTAAAAACCTAAAATAGTTTTTAAATTAGTCAAATTTTTAAGAAACTACAACGTTTTTTGTGAAAAAAGTCAATTTTGCAATTTTTTGGTGTTTTTTTGGGTTTTTATGGTTTTTTCAAAATTTTTTTAATTTATCAAAATATGAATAATATTATTGTATTCCTTACTAAAAAATCAATCAATTCATTATAACTAATTTTTTTTACGTCAAATATAAACCTTATAAAACAAGTTTAAAGCGTGGGGTGTCGGGACACCCCAGTTACTCCTTAGAGGGTGAGTAAATTAACGTACTCCTTCTAGGGTTAAAATAAATTATAAAATTCTTACAAAGGATTATTTATTTATTTTTTGTTTATTTATTTAAAAAGCGTTCGGGCAAAAAGCCCATTCTTACAAAGTATACTAATATAAACAAGATTCACAATTTAGCACGAAATTAGTTTGTTGGCTGCATTAAAGTTATTGTTGTATAAACAATTTATATTATTAATTAAATTATTTTCAAAAATTTTAATAACATTCTTTAGAAGAAATCGATTATTTTCATAAATAATAAAATTCTTTGCGAAAATTCAATTATTTTCAAAAATTTTCATAAAATCAAATTTATTTGTAAATATCTTTAATTGTAAAACTATGTAATTTAAACATAAACTATTTAAACATTTCTAATATTATTTTCCCATAAGAACAAAGATTTTTCAAAATTTCGTATTTCAATTTTTCAAACCTTTTGAAATTCAATAATTCACAAGAATTGATACTGTACCCTATTGAAAATCCCCATATGGGAAACCACATGGGAAACCACATGGGATCCTATGTCAAAAACCATGTAAAACCCTACTTCCATGAAGGAAACCACGTGGTTTACCATGTGGTTTCCCATGTCAAACCATATGGGAAATTGAGACAGGATTTTAGTTAGGAATAGACATGGGAAATTTGAACAGTTCATCTATGCATAAAACCATATCAAATCCCACATGTTTTTCCCATGTTAAATCCTAAACCGAATCCCATGTGAAAAACAGTATCATTTATTTATAATTATTTTCCCAAGTCAATCCCCAAGTGAAAAACAGTATCATTTATTTATAATTATTTTCCCATGTCAAATCCTAAACCAAATCCCATGTGAAAAACATTATCCGCCTTATTGAATATCCCTACATGGGAATCCACTTGGAATTTTACAAGGGATTTCACATAGGACTTTATATGGGAATTGACATAGGATTTCATGCCAGATTTCACTTAGGATTTAATATGAGATATCACATAGTATTTTATTAAAGATCCAATGAAGAAATTTTCAAAGGATTAAAAATTATTTAATAAAAAATTAAATAATAAATAGTATTAGTGTTACAAGTCATCAAAAAAGTAAAAAAACGATCATTTGAAACACGTCCTCTCTGCTACAGGTTCTCAGCTTTTATATACTTCCAGAGTCGTCTCAACAGCGAGAGAAGTCACTTTCGCCACCTAGCGGTGAAAGTATAGGAGCGACAGTAATCTTTATCATTACTAAGGAAACCATGTGGAATACCACGTAGGATTCCATGTGGTTTCCTACGTGGGGATTTACATGGGATTTTACTTAGGAATTTAAGTAGAAATAAATTCCCAAATGAATCCCTAAGTAAAATCCCATGTAAATCCCCACGTAGGAAACCACATGGAATCCTACGTGGTATTCCACATGGTTTCCTTAGTAATGATAAAGATTACTGTCGCTCCTATACTTTCGCCTCTAGGTGGCGAAAGTGACTTCTCTCGCTGTTGAGAAGATTCTGGAAGTATATAAAAGCTGAGAACCTGTAGCAGAGAGGACGTGTTTCAAATGATCGTTTTTTTACTTTTTTGATGACTTGTAACACTAATACGATTTATTATTTAATTTTTTATTAAATAATTTTTAATCCTTTGAAAATTTCTTCATTGGATCTTTAATAAAACTAGCTCCTCCGACGGCCGCAAGCGGCCGTCTACGGTGCTAGTTTTTATATGTCCATTGTCCAAGTCTATTATTTCATTAATAATAATATTCAAATTTTTTCAGTTAATAATTTGCTTATTTATATTTGAAATGTTGACGTTTTTTTTTGACAATGCAAAATAAGATTTATTATGAGTACTTTCTCTTAACAAAAATAAAATTTATTTATTCGCGCTCTTTTTAAATAACATACGACTGCAGCGCCACCTTCACATGTACAAAAAATTTTAAAAACACCCTTCTATTAAGATTTTACATTCTCATTGCCCATTCTTTACTTCGATACTTTTCGATACATTCGACCTTTCCACTCCATGTCTTTTTTAAGAAAGGATACTATGTCATATCTCATATTAAATCCTAGGTGAAATCTTGCATGAAATCCTATGTCAATTCCCATATAAAATCCTATGTGAAATCCGTTGTAAAATTCCAAGTGGATTCCCATGTAGGGATATTCAATAAGGCGGATAATGTTTTTCACATGGGATTTGGTTTAGGATTTGACATGGGAAAATCATTATAAATAAATGATACTGTTTTTCACTTGGGGATTGACATGGGAAAATAATTATAAATAAATGATACTGTTTTTCACTTGGGATTCGGTTCAGGATTTGACTAGGAAAAACATGTGGGATTTGATATGGTTTTATGCATAGATGAACTGTTCAAATTTCCCATGTCTATTCCTAACTAAAATCCTGTCTCAATTTCCCATATGGTTTGACATGGGAAACCACATGGTAAACCACGTGGTTTCCTTCATGGAAGTAGGGTTTTACATGGTTTTTGACATAGGATCCCATGTGGTTTCCCATGTGGTTTCCCATATGGGGATTTTCAATAGGGATAACTTCTCTAATATAATTTTTATGATTTGAATTCAATAAAAAAAAAATTTAGAAATTTAATTTAAAAAACTCTTATTTAAATTAATTATTTTTAATCATTTTTGAGAAACTTCGAGAATTCAATTATTCAAAAAAAGAAAAAAAACCTAAGGAAGTGAAATTTGGAAAGTCTTTCCTCTACTTCCAAAAAGAGACAAATTTTCGAAATTCGAAAAAAGCTTATTTAACATACATAAATTTATTAATGTAAATATGCTCTAAACATTTAAATTAAAAAAAAAATATATTTTAAACATTTAAACAAATTTAAATATGAATAAAAAATTTTAGATTATTTAAAATAAAAATAAATAACAAATAAATAATAAAGATAAAAATAAATAGAAAATATACATAGAATATAGTTAAATTTATGTAGTAAATTTCTCTAGTAATAAATAGTATAAAAAATATTTACAAAATGATAATTACAGTAATTTATGAGAAAACTTAAAGGAATGTTTGATACAGAATGAAACCAGTTTAAACAGTATATTATTGTAACCCGGAATATTCTTGCGGTTCCAAGTAATACGTTTATAGATGTAGAACAAGCAAAACCACAATTTATTTGACACCGTTGCTCAAGAGTTTGAATATGTATATGATAAAAAAATAATAAACTTCTTTGTCATCGAGATTTGTTCTCGATTTTATTTTAAAAAGAATATTTCTGTCTCTTTTATAGGCATCTTCATAAAATCGGTTCTACCTGGTGGCCAGGCAGCCGAGGATGGCCGATTGAAAGCTGGGGATGAAATTTTGGCGGTCAATGGCCAGGTTTGTCATGACTTGACTCATCGTGAAGCTGTTCAGCTTTTTCGCAATAATAAAAGCGGTCCAGTGGCTCTTCACTTGTGCAGAAGATCCAAGCAACGAGATTTGCAGTGAGTTCAATTTTCTTCTTTTTAAAATTCAATTTCAATATTATATTTAATAATAATAATAATAATAATAATAATAATAATAATAATAATAATAATAATAATAATAATAATAATAATAATAATCAGTAAAATAGTAAAAAATAATTATTAATTGCTAGAAAAAATAATTAGAATAATAGAAATAATAATTTTCTAAAATGCTTTTTAACAACCTTTTTAGAATACTAGAAAATTGTACAATTTTTATAGGAAAAAATTTGTAAGTTTTTATTATTCTTTTATACTTTCTTTAAATATACAAACATAGGAATTAATTTCTAAAATTTTCGATAAATTTTACAATATTCAAAAACTTTTGCCTTTATTGCAAAATATTGCTTATAATTATCTGCACTAAAATAATTTTTTTCTCTAATGTTTCAGAGGTTCGAAAGCAAAATCATGTGCAGATCTTCTACTCGTTGACACCTGATTAAATCAACGAGTATAAAAAAATTAACAAAAAGTGACGAACCCTTTTTATATATATATATATATATTATATATATTCTACGAAGATAACAATAATGTACATAATTTTCCTTTTTTTGTAAATTTTGTAACATATTTTTGTGAAAATAAAAGAAATTATTTAATGTTTTCATAAATCATCATTTTTTTTCTTCTTCTCTAATTTATTTTATTTCCTTGAAAAGAGAAATTTTAGGAAAACTGTATTAGTAAAATTTTTCATTACATTTTTCGAGTATATATCTAAAATAATTTTTCTATTAAATTTTTTTTCTGATCATGACAATAACGTTCTTCGTATAAAATTCTTAATGATATGTAATAATTAATATAATAATAATCGATAAACAATGTCACTTATTGCACTATAAACAATTCATTGTGAATTACATGGAAAATAAATTAAACATAACGAATGTCTAGATCTAATTGATCCTTTCACGAGAGACTAGATTCTAAAAGTTTTTTCAAAACTTTGTGGGAAAATTGATAAAACTCTGGTTTTAACAAAGAGCACTTTTGGTGGTTGATAATAATTTCTGGAAATTTAATAGGGTGCAGACTTTAGAGCCGGCTTTTGGTACCTGAAATAGAAAGAAAAGTTTCCATTAAAATTTAATTAAACTAAATAAAAATAAAAAAGAATACAAACAAAAATAAAAAAGTAAAAATTAAAAAAATAAAAGAAATTAAGGAAATTAGTTAAAAAAATGAAAAATAGTTTTAGACTTTTTACCTGTGTCTCCTTGCCACATCTAATTCGACTGGTCCTTCTCGAACTGCTTTAAATAATTCAATAACTTCTTGATGTGTGCATCCTCGCAATATTTTTCCATTGAGGCTCAAAATTTCATCCCCTGAAATAAATTTTCAAAATTAGTTTAAAATTGTTTAAAAATGTTTAAAATTTCTTTTTCTTATTTTATAAGATATTTTTATGACTATTTTCACAAATATTGATATTTTTTTCAAAACTTGCAAAACTTTTTCCTTTATAAACGTTAGGAAGAGAAAATCATCTTTAATTTATTATATTATTCTGTCTTAATAAATTATTTACAATGGATATTGACAGTTTGTGTACTTTCATGCGACATGAATTTCACTTCTTGACCCGTTGTTAGACTTAAAAGACTATATCGAAGGCTATTTAACCCACAAACATTATTTTCTTCTACTTAAAAGGCAATAGGCATTCTCGTTCGTGATTCTCGATTCAGTAACGCCTTTCCAACTTTTTAGTATTTATTAGTTATGCGCGATTATTTTTTCTAAATCAGTAAAATATTCATTTATTCTTTTCACCATTTCTTCTCTCTCAAGCGCCTCTTTTCTAGCCATTAACAATTTTTTAACGACTTTAACAAAGTAAAAGATATTTTTTTTTACAAAACAAAAGTTTCGATTCTTGAAAAATTTCTTTTTCTCTCAAAAACATAAACAAAAATGGAAAAATTAGACAAAATTAGACAAAGTTGGAAAAATGGGAAAATTTAACAGAAATGGAAAAATTAATCAAAAATGTGAAAATTAGATAAAAATGGACTCTAACAAAGTAAAAGATATTTTTTATGAAACAAATATTTCACTGTTTGAAAAATCGTTTTCCCTCTCAAAACATAAATGCAAATTTCTCGAAGGGAATACAAAATAAAAGTGCAATAACAGAAAAAACAAAACCTATTGAACGAAAAAGAGCAAGAGAAGTTGAATGAACTTTTGTCGAAAATAAAAAATCTCGACTGCTTTCCTATACACAAAGGTCGTGATGAATTTTTTATTGATACAGATTCTTTGTTAGGAGAAAAAGAAGGACTTAAAGACATAAATTCCTATCACATTAGACACGAGTTCAAATTCGAAAATATATAAAAATTATACCCTTGAAATTCTTGAATTAAAAAATAATTTTCATATTGAAAGATTAATCTCTGTAATTCTGACATATGGCTTTGATGACATAATAAAACGTAATGATGTAAAATTTAAATTTTTAGGCGATATTAACTCGAAAGGAGAAATCTCTTCAACATTACGTCAATGAACCTGGTTAAAGGAACGTTTGTAGTCATTAGCCATGTGTCTCTAGATCCAAGTGAATCAATCGATCATGATTATTGCGCATAAAATCATTTACATCCTCATCGAGTTTATACTGATAAATTAGTTTGGAATTTTTTTATTATATCCGAACCTGTTCTATATATTTTACCTCAAGAAAATAATGTTCCTCTAACTTAACTCGAGTGACATTTTCATTTCATTTGATAAACATCCAGATTGCTTAAATGATTTTAACTTAGAAATGGTCTCATAAAACGCGATTGCGAATTTATTTATATACGAAGGTTGGAGATTAAAAAATAAAAATTCAAACTTCTGCTAAATGTTTTTTTGAAAAACCGTTTACTAAATTTAATCGAAGGAAGCAGTGAATCACAGATAATTTCTTGGTCCCTTTTTCTCTAAAAATGGTTGTAAATAAATTTTTATGTAAAAACGGGTTATTTGATGTTTTTACAGATAACTTGAAAACATTTAATTTAGTTGAGATTGTACAAATGACATTGCAGGAAAATTGCAAAATCTGATTTAAAAATTTATCATTTTCAAATTTTGCAAAAATTAAATTCAATAAAAAATAAAGTTCTAAAAGAGAAGTTTTTTTATTCTTCTAATACTGTTGATCGTGAAAATAAACGAAATTTATTTATTTCTCCTTCAAATGAAATTTTTATTACAATAATTTTGCTTTACTAGAAAAAAAAAATTAATTATAAAGTTTCTAAATATAAAATTTGAGTTTTTAATTTTTTATTTCATTCAGTGATTTACAAGAATATTTTTGAAGGAAAACTATTTCGTTCTTTTCAACGATCAAAACTTGTAGATCATTTAATAATGGAACAGATTTTAATAATGGAATAGATTTTAATAATGGAACAAATTTTAATAATGAAATAAATAAATTTAATAATGAAAGAAATAAATTTAATATTGAAAGAAATAAATGTAATAATTGAATAAATAAATTTAGTAATAGAACAAATTTTAATAATGAAATAAATAAATTTAATAATAAACAAACAAAAATGTAATAATTGAATAAAGAAAATTAATTAATGAAAATACTAAATATTGAAATAAGCAAACATATCGTCAATAAGATTAAAATAAATAAAATCGAGAAAGATGATAACATTAATGGACATGAGTGAAAAAATAAAATAAACATTTTATTTGATGAAAGGATCTTTCAGCCTGTGTTTATGCAACCATACGAACCGCGAGACCGTTATTCAAGCATACAACAGGGAAACCACAGTGCAACATGTGTTTGTGTATGTGTGAAAAAAAACGCGCGGATCAGTTTGAAATTCAACACCAACTTGACAATCGTTTCATGTTGAAAAATTGGAATTTAATACAAATTTAGTGGAAAATACGTGACCAAAATGAAGCCTTCAGTAATAAGATCAATGCTTCCAAAACACTCGATCTCGATATATTTTCTCTCGGGAAATTTATTTCAATTTAAAAGAAATTCCCTATTTAATAATAAAAATAAAAATTATAAATTATAAATTAAAATAATAATAATAATAAAAAATAATCAAAAAATTAAAATAATAATTTTTAGTGTATAAAATTTTCCCAAATTGAAATTCATCTTTATCCAAGCCGGGAATAATTATAGGTAAACAGCAGACAAAATAAAGCAAGAAATGAAAGAAGAAAATTTTTGTGCGGTATGCATAACAATCTCTTTCGGAATATAATGGAGAAGAGAGGAAGGAATGAGAGATAAAAAAGATTCGCGAAAAAAAGAAAATGAAAGGCGCGCACAGAAAAGCCAAAGAGCATCAGAAACTCGTATCATCTGTTTAGAAATGCACGACATAAGGTGTCGGATTAAAGATTCGAAGTGTGTTCGAATGGTATTCTCGTTGTGCATATGTATATGCGAATAGTACATACGTGCCATCAAAGAAACATCAAGTATTATATATATACATCTTGTCCCGAAACAATCGTTTCGGGACAAATTCTTATGTTTCGAAAAAAATGCTGCAGACAAGGCGCAATTTGAGTTTTTTTTTTATCAAGAAGAAGAAGAAAAAAAGGGCGAATTTTATTTTTTATTCTTATTGTTAATGATCGAAATTCAAACTTATAATTCAAAAATGAATAATCGTTAAATAAAAATAAAGAAGTTGAACACAGTAAAGGAAAAATTAAACAAAAATAGAAAAATCGTTAAAGAAAAATATGGGAAAATTAGACAAAAATGGAAAAATCATTAAATAAAAAATAAAAAAATTAAACAGAAATGGAAAAACTAGAAAAAAATGGAAAAATTAGAAAAAAATGAGAAAATTGTTAAATAAAAATTGAAAAATTAAACAAAAATGAAAAAATTGCTTCTAATAAAAATGGAAAAATTAAATAGAAGTGGAAAAAGTGAATAAAAAGGGAAAAATTGAGGGGCTGGATGCTATAATGTGTTACGCGCCATGTTAAGTGAATGGCGCGTAACACATTATAGCATCCAGCCCCTCAATTGTAGAAGAATGGGAAAATTCTTAAATGAAAATGAAAAAATTAAACAGAAATGGAAAAATTAATTAAGAATGAGAAAATTATACAAAAATGGAAAAATTATAAAATGAAAATGGGTCAGAATTCGTGAAATTTTCACAGAAAATAAAAAGTATTTTTTTTAAATCGAAATGTTGAAAAAACATTTCTATTTGGCCTTAAGAATGTGTCCACCAAAAAACAGAAAAAAAATTATTTTTTATAAAAGTTATTGCAAAATTAATTTTTTTGCAACTTTTTAAACAAAATTTTATTTCTCCTAAATGAATGAACCGATTTAAATGAACCAAGCGGGAATATAAAGGGGATAAAATATACTTTCGTTTAGAATTAGAAAATTTTTAAAAAGTTTATTTTTTAATAATTATTTAATAAATTTTTTATAAACAATTAATTTTTTTAAATGTTCTGCGCCTTTTAAAAATTTGAAAAAAATATTAACATACACTTAAAACTATAAGAAATCAAAATCTGTTCAGAAAATTTAGGAGCGACAATTATTTTAAAAGTTATAATGAAAATTATATTGGCGCGGTGTAGTGCATCAACGCTAAACTTAGTTTTTGATCATTTTTATCAATTTTTATGGTTATATAATTGAATAAAAATGTTAATTTGACAGTGTTTTGTTCATTTCGTAGTTAAAAATAATGTTTTAATTATGAAAATCATCAAAATGAAAAAATTTTGAAAATGGGAAAATTAGATAAAAAGGAAAAAATTATTAATTAAAAATGGAAAAATTAAACAAGAATGGAACAATCACATAATAAGAAAGGAAAAATTAAACAGATATGAAAAACGTAAACAAGAAGTCCGGTAAACAAGAATAAAAAAAATTAGAAAAGGATGAGAAAATTCTTAAATAGAAATTGAAAAATTAAACATACAAAAAAAAACTGGTAAATACAAATGGAAAAATTAAACAAAAATGAGATATTATGATAAAAATGAAAAAATCTTTAAATAAAAACGGAAAAATTAAACAAAAATGAGATATTATGATAAAAATGAAAAAATCTTTAAATAAAAACGGAAAAATTAAATAGAAGTTGAAAAATTGAATAAAAATGGAATACTTGTGAATCAAAAATTGAAAAATTGTTAAATGAAAATGGAAAAATTAAACAGAAATGGTTAAAAAAATGGGAAAATTAGACAAAAATGAATAAATTGTTAAATAAAAATGGAAAAATTAATACAAGAATGGAAAAATCGGTAAATGAAAAATTAAACAAAAATAGAAAAAGTAAACAAGAATGGAAATATTATCCAAAAAAGGAAAACGCGTTAAATAGAAATGAGGAAATTAGACATACAATAATATGGGAAAATCATTGAAAACTGGAAAAATTTTTATATAAAAGTGGAGGAAATTCCATTTTTAGGAATTGCAATGAAGAAAAGAATTGAATCTCACCTTGAAAGAGGGATTTCGTAACGTCAGCCTGGCCCCCAGGGAAAACCCGCCTGACGAAAATGCCCATTTCCCCACGTGGACTGTCCCTGCCGCCGACGACGCTGAATCCTAGACTCGGCTTACCGTATCCCTTCTCAAACCTGGCAATATGCCTCGTCAAGTATTGATGTATTTCCGTCGAGGATTCCAAGGAGGCGTCGACATCCTTCCTGGTGGTGATACACGTGACTGGCAGGAAGTCCGGTCTCTTTTTGGTATGATTATTTTCATTGCAGGTGGACGAATCGACTCTTTCTTTCTCATTATTATTATCGTGCAATGTCATATTTGTGAGATTTTTCACATTTTTCTCATACTCATAATCATCGGTCGAAACAGGGCCCGAATAAACTTGCGGCACTGTTTCCTCATAAGCTGTTATTAGTCGTACTTTATTTCCATTGAAGGATTTCAGGTACTCTTGAACTTGCTCGAGACTCTCGAGTGTTCGGAGTTCCTTACCTTCGACCTCAACAATTTCATCGCCCAACCTCAATCTTCCATCTCTGTAAAGAGAAAAGAATCGTAAATATTTCTTGAAAATTCTACCTAAAAAATTGTAATCCTTTAAAGAAACAAAATTACTTTCGCGGTAAACAGTAATTAGTGAGGAATGTCATTTTCTTTGTTCGGAAGAAAATGTGAAAATTGCGTACACAAAAAAATATTAATGCTTGAATGCATACGTCCTCGAAACCAGACTTGTTTGATGAAATCATACATCCTATGTATGTTAAAGGCAAACGTATTGTTTTTTTATTAAATTATGATTTATAGTCTTTCAATCAATATTATTTTTATTTCTTTTCTCTCTGTTCACTTACAACTATGAGTTATCTTCACTTTATTAAATGATTGACTAGAAAATGTTAATTTAACGAAAAGTGATAAAAGCCAAACACATTTTATTAAGCGACACTTTGTAAAATTCAATGATTTACCAATTATTAAATTTACCAAATTTTCAATAATTTGATAGTTATTTAATAAAATTTTTTTGAAAACTCAAATACCTTTCAAAATTTGAATCATAATTTCTCAGAAACATTTTAAATAATTAATTATTATTAGTGAAAAGATGATTAAAATTGTTTCTTTAAAAATATTTTTAAGTATATAATATTTAAAAGATAATAGATTATTTAATTTAATTGAAAAATTTCCCATTAAGTTTCACTACCGGTCAAAATTGAGAGACCACCCATTTTCAGGCGAATGCAAAACGTTTTAAAACATAAAATTTATTGAGACTAAAATTTTTTTCTGTTCACTTTTTGAAAGATGATAAAATTTTGAAAAGAACAAGATATTTCAGAAGTCGTTTGGCCAATATTTTATTTTGATATTTTTAAAAAATCGTCATTTTCAATGTTTTACAAAAATTTGAACAACTTCTAAAATAGTGAACGCTTTTTAATTATCTTAGGCTTATTTTAAAGGTCATTTGCTGCACTATAAAAATTACTTATAGGCATTAACGTGTAATTTTTTTCTTAGAAAATGCAAACCGTCAAACTTGGACCAAAAAAATTTTAAAAATTTGAAACAATCTTATTAACAAAAAAATAATTTTTAAAATTCCAACGTATTTTTTTATTAAATTTTTTTCAAAAATCTATACCATATAATGTTCTATATATTTTTTAGAATAGTTTTTAGTACAGAAAAATTGTTCCAATTTTTTTGAATTTTTTTGGTCTAAGTTTGATGGCCTGCATTTTCTAAGAAAAAATTACACGTTAATGTCTATAAGTAATTTTTATAGTGCAGCAAATGACCTTTAAGATAAGCCTAAGATCATTAAAAAGCGTTCACTATTTTAGAAGTGATTCAAATTTTTTTAAAACATTGAAAATGACGATTTTTTAAAAATATCGAAATAAAATATTGGCCAAACGACTTCTGAAATATCTTGTTCTTTTCAAAATTTTATCATCTTTCAAAAAATGAACAGAAAAAAATTTTAGTCTCAATAAATTTTATGTTTTAAAACGTTTTGCATTCGCCTGAAAATGGGTGGTCTCTCAATTTTGACCGGTAATGTAATTTTTGTAAAATTTTTTATAAATGATTGAATCTTTTAACTAATTTTTGAAAAATAATCAAGTTTTAAAAGAATTTTAATTACCAATATGAAAATACGTATGATTTCTATAAACAATATTTATTTTTCAAAAAATATTTTAATATAATTCAATTTGATTTAAGTCATTGGATTTAAATTTAATTGAAGTTAGTTATCATTAACTTTTATTTTCAAATTTTCGTTTGAAAATTTTTTATTAATATTTCACTTTTATTAATATTCTATTTATATTTTTGAGAACTCAATTATTTTCAAAATTTACAATAAAATTCTTTAAAATTTGATTTTTAACAATTTTAATTTAATATTTAAAAAAATTTCAATTATTTTCAATGAAATTTTTTAAATTTCAATTATTTTCAATAAAACTTTCTAAATTCCAATTATTTTCAATAAAATTTTTTGAATTTCAATTATTTTCAATAAAATATTTTAAGTTTTAAAATAAAGTTTCAATTATTTCCAAAAAAATTTTCTAAATTTTAATTATTTATATTTATATTTTTGAGAACTCAATTATTTTCAAAATTTATAATCAAAATTCTTTAAAATTTGATTTTTAACAATTTTAATTAAATGTTTAAAAAAATGTCATTTATTTTCAATAAAATCTAAATTTCAATTATTTTCATTAAAGTTTTTTAAATTTAAATTATTTTGATTAAAATTTTCTAAACTTCATTATTATTTTTAATAAATTTTTTTACAATTTAATTATTTTCAATAAAATTTTCTAAATTTAAATTATTTTCAATATAATCTTTTAAGTTTAAAAATAAAATTTAAATTATTTCCAATAAAATTATCTAAATTATAATTAGTTTCATTTAAATTTTCAAAGTTTCAATTATTTTCAATAAAAATGTTTAAATTTCAATTATTTAAGAAAAAATCTGGCGAACAGTCAAAACAAAAATGTTAGATCATTGTCATAATTTTGTATCTTAAAAGAAAAATACTAATTAATTTTTAAACTCTCTTTAATTGTGAGGTGAACAATTTAATTTTCAACATTTAAAAAAAATTAAAAGTTGCATTTGAATACAAATTACACTTTTTTGCCAATAAAAAATATTTGTTTAATTTGAAGTAATGTTATATAAATTGTTTCTTATTGACAGAAAATTGTAATTTCTAATATTGAAAATTAATTTCTTTTCTGTTCCACAGAAAGGAATTTAAAATTTGTCTTCTTTTGAAATATGGAATTAAGTCATTGGAGTAACTTTTATACCGCGATTGTTTATCGGAACCAAAAGAAGTTTTTGTTAGAAATATAAAATAAAAATTTTGTGTGTGTATGAAATGATTCCCAGCGAGTAACTAAGAAGTAAAATAAGTCATAATCATGGGTTTGACTTGAAAATGAAATGGTTGAATAAAGACAATAATGTATGAAATTTACCTATGAGCGATTCCATCAGTTTCGAGTTGAACCACAATGTATCGAATTTCGCCAATTCGTTGTTGTGCGAGCCTAATGCCCAGACTCTCCTTGGGATCGTTCTTGATGAGCTGTACGAGTCGGCATCTGCGAACTTTTTTCGGTGGCTGGATGATGTCACTGAGAAACCTCGTCTTGTCCTGCTGGAGCCTCGCCCGATGGGGCATGGTGGCAACGCCCAAACCATCCGAGCCTGGCAGTGGCGAGGTCTGATGTATGCTCGGCAGCATTCTTCCCGAGCTGCTCTGGTGCCACCTGAGACCATCTATTCTCTCCTCAACCTCCGCACTGCCATTCTCTCCGTTCTTGCTCGACCTTGAGCTCTCGCCCTCCTGCTCCTGGCATTCACTAGACGTCGAGCTTCTCATCATCGGCTTCTCTATCTCCGAGTCCACAACGCTGCTCGTGTCCGAACTGTCCGTATTGCACTTGAGACTCTGGGCTTCATTTTCCGAAGCTGCTGCCGATTCGCCTCGTGGTCCATCGCTGTCATAGCCGGATTCGTTCGAACTCACGTAGTGTGAGGATAATCTTTGCTCTCCACTCGGAGCGGAATTTCTTCTGTGGTTCCTCAAGGTTGTGATTTCGAGATTGTCCGGATCAGGATTCAGACCGATTTCGTGGTTCAGTGATGCGGTGTCGAACCTTGAGTCGTTGATCGAGAGTCGGGATTGAGGAAGAGACAGGGGACTCCTCAGGTGATTTTCGTAAGTGTCCTGTAGGTCGTCCTCGATCCTCTCCAGGTGGCTCGGATTCAGACTGTACCGATCTTGCTCGTGTTCGACTCGTTCGGTTCGAAATTCCGCGTAGGAATTCCTTCCCATTCGGGAGACGTCATGAGATCTGGACGGAGCGTTTCTGTTGAAGTGATTCCTGGGACGCCTTCTGCCCAGAGTGGTCGTTCCCTCAAAGGACTCTTCAATCTGCAGCGCCGGGAAGTGCTCCTCCGAAGTTGTCTTGAACAACCTCTCGTCCTTCAGGCCCGATCCATAGCGCTCCTCAGGCAGAACGGAGAGTTTCGATCTCAGAAACGAATAGGGAAAGCTGGTCTTCTTCACTTCCTTAAAATCGCAACTGCTGGACTTTCTTAGACTGTCATTCTTCGCCTCGCTAAAGTCACAGGGACTAAAAATTCTACCCACTGACAGTGACGGAGAAGGGGAGACATTCAGTCTATCATCGAACACATCATCATCGGATCTCCCACTCAAATTATCGCACGACAGAGTCTTGTCCTTTCGACTATTACGACTATTAATCTGAAGATCAATTCCCTCGGAAGGATCGTCACCTTTCACGTAAGTGGGGCTGGTGTTCAATTGACTGGTGCTACAACTTCTGAAGAGATTCTCCTTTTCTGGGGTCTTCTCATTGCTAGACGATCGTTTGCTACCTCGATTGGAGTTCAACATCCCAGTGGAGCCCATCCTGATGAAAAACGATTTAAAAGGAGACGGCGATCTTTGCGCGAATATCCTCCTCTCCTTCTGCTCGGCGAGTCTCTCCAACTTTTCGCTAATGTTGTTGTTGTTGTTGTTGTTATTGTTCATAAAAGGTTCTGACCTTTCCGGGGTGATGGAATTGATCGTCTCTCGAGATCCCGCTTTGCGAAATGATTCTATCTTCTTGCCCATCCGCCTCAATCCCCAAACGCCTAAGCCTGTAACGAGAAAAGGAGAAACGGTATTATAAAGCGCAATCAGAAGTCGTACAAAAGCGGGACAATGAGACAAAAAACTAGTCGGTTGAAAAGGGGGTTTCTGAGTCGAGAATTCGGATGGTACGTCGTTATAGGAAAAACCATAAGGCACCATTGACATGTGGTGACTCCTCCCTCTCTGTCACTCCAGGTGGGTAACGGACGTCTTTGCTAATGGTCGACGATTGTCAAACCACTCGAGTACATATGTTTTGCGATAAAGCCGTTGTCCCTCCTTAAAAGAATCAATTTTCCCAAGGAGGACAACAGTTTTAATTGGTGTCACGATTCAGGAATTTGAGTAATTAATACCCCTTTCAACTTTTTACCAATTAACTTCTTTAATTGCTTTCTGTTCATTGATATTGAGCTGGAATAAAATTGAAAAATACGATTAATTAAAAAACAATGTTCACGTTTAGCTTTGTTTTCACTGCTGACTTTATGCAATCGCTATATTGCAATCTTGAAAATTCATATGTTTAGCAATTTTAGAATTTATCTAGGTATCAATTTATTAATGATTATCATTAACACAAATATTTTATTCTTAATGAACATATTTATGTAAATGTTTTCAATTCACATATAAATTCATTCAAGAATTTATTTACTCTTCATTTAAATATACATGGAGGGAGAATAAATATTAAATTTCGAGAAAGTAATTTACAATTTGGAGAGAAAATGCGACAAAGCGAAATTTTTATATAAAAAATACTAAACTTCAAAATGAAATTTAGTAAATTTTTATTAAAACCCCAGTAGCACGTAATGTTAGGAACATTCCAGCAGTATTCCAGTAACATCAACAACATTGAGGCAATATTGGTAATTAAATGTTAAGGCAGTGTTCTCAATATTGCTGTAATATTACGTTCTGCTGGGGAATTTAATTAATATTCTTGATATTTGATACAACAGTAGTAAATTTCACACAAGTTTTTTTAAATCACTAAATAATTTTTAAATCACTAAATATGTATTATCCAAAAATTTAAAAATAATTAGTTATTTGAAAAATTTTATCAAAATTATTAAAATTTTTCAAAAGAATTCAATTAATAAAAAAAATTAATAAAATTCCACGCAAATATTAAATTATTTTCATAAATAATAAAAATTACACAGGAATTCAATTGTTTACAAATTTTTTATAAGTAAATTTCTTCACAATAAATCAATTTTTTCATAAATAATAGAATTTTTTTTAGCATTTCAATTTTCAAAAGTAATAAAATTTTTCGCAGAGATTTAATTATATTAAAAATAAAAAAAAAATTAGTCAAAATTTTAATTATCTTTATAAATAATAACAAATTTTCAAACATTTCTTATTTATCTTCAAAAATCTTTAGACTAGTTAAAAAAATTTCTTCACATTTTAGTCATAATTTTTTGTAAAATATGATAAATAAATTAATATTGTTGCGTTTGAATCTGTTCACAGTTTAAAGATAGTTTTTTTTTGCTTCTTAACGTTAATAAATTCTCTTTTTAAATTAGTTGAATTTTAAAATTAATTCACTAAAAATTAGGTAGGGGAGAGTCTCCAGTTGTGAGACACCTCCAGTTGTGAGACAGTCAATTTTTGTTAACATGCAATAGTTAAAAGCCGATTGGTTTATATAAAAACATTTCTTTTTATATGAGCCAACTTTTTCGTGTACGCCGAAGCGAATATATAAACTGTTTTTGTTAAATACCAACACTGTGTGTGATAATAATCGACTAAAAAGCGTTTTTTCAATAAATACAAAGTACTTTTTTTCCAAGTTAATTAACTGGAAAAGGTAAATGTAATGCATTTTCTTTTAGTGTTTTCCTTATATTTTGTGATGCAATATTGCATTGTTCCAATCTACGGTTGAAAATAATTTAATTTTCCTTTTTTAAAATAGCGCCAATTTCTGGGTGTGAGACACAGCATATCACCAGTTGTGAGACGGTGTCAACACCCACCTGGGCAGCATAAAAAATACGACTTTGCAAGCATGTCAAGTGGAAAAAAGTCAATTGATTCAGAAGAAATCAATTTTAATGCTCTTGTTCAAGCTATTAAATTGTGTTTATTTGATAGTCATATTTTGGCGAATAAATATTATTATTTAGTATATAATAATATATATTATTAATATATTTAATTATTTCTACTAAACATAACGTTTTATGTCAAACTTATTAAATTTTAGCAATTTTTAATGAGTGTCTCACAACTGGAGACATTTTTTTTGTTTGAAAAAAGCGATGTGCTCGGAAAATGTATCGTAAAATTTTTTTAGTTCATCGAAACACTATACTTTCTTTTAATAAAAGTTGCGTATTTCTGTTACCTTTTGAACGGTGTATTTTATTTACAATTTCGTTTACCCGTTTACAATTTACGGGTCAAAAATGAAACCCGTCTCACAACTGGAGACTCTCCCCTACTAAATTCTTGCAAATTAATAAAAAAAAATTAATAAAATTCCACGCAAATATTTAATTATTTTCATAAATAATAAAATTCTTTTTAGGAATTCAATTATTTTCAAAAGTAATAAAGTTTTTCGCAGAGAATCAATTATATTCAAAAATTAAAAAAAAAAAATAGTCAACATTTAAATTATCTTTATAAATAATAAAATTCTTCTACGAAATTAAATTATTTTCGAAAATTTTAATAAAATTCTTTTCAAATATTCAATTATTTAAAAAAATTTAAATATTCTCTTCGAAATTTCAATTGTCTGTATAAATAATAAAACTCTTCTCCAGAATTCAATTATTTTCAAAAATTTTAATAAAATTCTCAGCAAATTTAATAAAATTCTACGTAAACATTTAATTATTTTCCTAAATAATAAAAATTTTACAGGAATTCAATTATTTTGAAATTTTTATTAAATTTCTTCGCAATAATTTCATTATTTTTGTAAAATAAACTTTTTTACATGGATTTAATTATTTTGATAAATAATAAAATTCTGTTTAAGAATTCAATTATTTTCATAAATAATAAAACTCATTGTAAAATTTCATCTTTAATTAATTATTATAAAATATGAAGAAATTGAGCACTCCGAGCATATTCGAAGATTCGGAGTGATCGATTCGAGGATCGATTTCTTTGTTTTGTAACAATATTTAAATAATTGAATTCTTTCGAGAAAATTTAATTAAAATGGTATTGAAAATAATTGCATTCTCGCAAAAAAATATTATTACTTACATATAAAAAAAATTAAATTCTTCCAAAGAATGTTATTAAAATTTTTTAAAATAATTTAATTCTTATCAAGAATTTTATTAAAAAATTTTTTAAAAATTGAATCTTTTCGTGAAATTTTATTAAAATCTGGTTGCAAGGAAACGTTTTTCTAAGGATATCAAAATTTTGCTTTGTCGTATTTTTTCCCCAAATTGTCTGGAACTTCCCCAAGTGCGAAATGCCAAGACTGCAAAAACGGCCCATCATTGGTCCAGTAATGTCTGCCGAGAATTGGCAGTAGTTAGGGGAGAGTGGGGCAAAATAGGGTAGGCGGGTCAAATGGGGTACCTCTGTTTTTCCATGATAGGTACTTTTAATTTTTTTATCCTCGACATATATCATTCATGTTGATAAGAAACTGTTATTAATTATGAAGACACTCCAAAGAAAATTTTTTTTTGAAAGTTATACTACTTTTAAGTTTTAAGCAAAAAAAATATGAATTTTTTTCAAAATTAAAGTGCTTACCAAACTTTTTGGGATAATGCATTTAATTTGGCAAGTGTGGAATCTTTTTCAGTACTTATTCTAGAGTAATTTCCAATAGAATAGATTGTTTAATTGTTTACAATAACTTGTAAACATTGCATTTTGTTTTAATATGCAGTGTGGGGCAGAATGGGGTACCTAAGTGTGGGGCATGCCGGAAGCTACGCCGCTTCATTAAAACTATTTAAAAACATTATATTATGCATATTTAATGATAGATCGTCCAACGTCCTTCCGGCAGGACGAAAAAGACTCAGGTGAGTCCCTCCGAAATCACTAAAGAAAACTAACATGGATTCAGATAAATAAAAAATGAAATATATCATTGGAAAGGTAACGAATCAAGCTTTCAGCGCATATAAATATCGAGCTTGTAAGTTCAAAACTAAGGGCTGGGTAGTTTGAAGAAGTTCAATTTTCCAAAAATTCACATAATTTTTAGTCACAGAATGACGAAGCCCGGTCCTGCCGGCAGGACGCTTTTCGCTTTATTCAAGAGACTACCTAGCCCAGGTTTATAAATTTAAAGACTCGATATTTACATCATTTGAAAGCTTGTTTCATTACCTTTCCAACGATATATTTAGTTTTATATTTATCTGCTTCCATATTAATTTTATAGAGCAATTTCGAAGGGACTCGCGCCTGAGTATTACTCAGATATACTGAACAATATTAAAAATGAATTTTTTTTTAATTGAACAATTAGGTTTCATTCTTTGAACGTTTTTGAAGAGAAAGAGACTCGTCCGGTCAAAAAATATTGATTTTTGGGGATTTTACATTAAATTTACGAAAAAATGTTTTTTTCACTGTTTAAAAACATAGCAAGTTTGAAGGCTTTGAAAAATGGTTTAAATTATTATTTTAAAAAGTCAAAAATATGGATTTTTTCGTCTTTTCGTCTACTTTAATCCCAAAGAGTGCCAGAAAAGAAAAGTTGAATTCCCTTTTTTTAAAAGCCTTTTTTTCGGAACGTCCTTCCGGCAGGACGGGCGTTTGGACGATTTATCATTAAAGGTTTCCTGCAGAAGAATCAATATTTTTGTTTGGAAACTTATACCATCGATGTTTCATTATCGATATTTTGCAATATGGATGTTTTTTTGTTAAATTCCAATAAATATTACTTGTTTTTTCATAGTAATAAAGAATCCTACTTTTTCTTTGTATTTATAATCTCATACAACAAGAATTTAATGAATTTTGAAAAAATATTCCA